GTGTGTGTGTGTTTGTGTGAGTGTGTTTTACAGTCATCAGTAGTAGTGTTGGATGTCTCTCGTTCATTCTAGATTGTGTGCACAAATCATCGACTGTCTTAAGAGATTTTAAGCAAACACTACCACAGTTCCCGGAGTCCCGGAAACAGTAATGGGCTGCCAGTGAAAACACAAGTGGCTTTCTTTTTGTATTTCAAGTTTTTGTGTTTGTTCACTGTAATCTGGTTGCCGTTGTTACTGCCTGCAGTGTTTTAGTCAATGTTTTCACACCGAAAAAAAAAAAAAACATTTGACAGTATTTTTCTGTGTAGCATGTTTCATTTTCTATTATGTGTGTGTGCAGCTGTCTTTTATATGACCTTTTAGCTAAGTGTAATATTTTAAGCACTTCATAATTTTCCATTTTAAAAGTAGTCATGCATTTATTTATCATTTTACTTTTCCTTGAGCCAACCTAAAGGAATATTTCACCCAAAAGTGAACATCTGCTGACAGTTTACTCATCCTCAGGACATCCAAGATGCAGACGAGTTTGTTTTACATCAGAACAGATTCAGAGAAATGCTGCATTACATCACTTGCTCACCAATGGATCCACTGCAGTGAATGGGTGTCGTCAGAATGAGAGCATTCTCTTATAATTTCACCACATATATTGTAAAACAAACGCAATTATGCACTCTAAAAAATGCTGGGTTGTTTCAACCCAATGTTGGGTCAAATATGGACTAACCCAACCATTGGGTTCAATTTTGGTTACATTTTTAAATTAACTTTTTAACCCAACAGTTGGGTTAGTCCATATTTGACCCAACATTGGGTTGAAACAACCCAGCATTTTTTAGAGTGTGTGTATGACCTCCAATACTATTAGGCTGCAAACATTTATACGTGAGAAAGAAGCATATTTTGAAGAAAAGACAGGGTGAGGTACTACACTCTAAAAAATGCTGGGTTGTTTCAACCCAATGTTGGGTCAAATATGGACTAACCCAACTGTTGGGTTAAAAAGTTAATTTAAAAATGTAACCAAAATTTAACCCAACAGTTGGGTTAGTCCATATTTGACCCAACATTGAGTTGAAACAACCCAGCATTTTTTAGAGTGTAAGTTCAATACTAGCTAAACTTACAAGACCCAAGTGGAACAATTATAGTACAGATTTCATTACGTTAAACTTAATTATATGCAGTGTAAAGTTTTATTTAGGTCAGTGAAGATGCAGCTGACTTCATAAGTGAGTAAGCTTCAGATAATTGTACTCCAGATGCATATAATTAATATTACTTGACTATTAACAAATTACAGTAGTCAACATTTGAAGTGGATCAAAAAAGTTAATCAAAGTTGTCCATAAGACAAGAACGCATTTTGGTTTTAGGTTTTAGGACAACTTTGATGAAAGGTTGTGATCCACTTCAAATGTTGACTAGTGGAGTAATACAGCAAAAAATAAAAATAAATGAATCATACAGTCAACCAAGTAATTCATCATTCAATTTTCTTTTCATCTTGCTTTCTGTTTTCCTTTTTTTTTTTTATTAAAATGGCATGCAGCAAATATTACATGCCACCTAAACTAGATGAACAGACCAAGACCCTAAGCAAAGTCTGTAAAAATATGGCCCAATGTACTGTGTTAATAGGAAGGAATTTTTCTTGAAAAGGAAAATGACACTAACTTTGCAACACTGACACTGTTAAACTGAAGTGTGTTAACCCTGAACTAAATTGAGCCGAATAATGACACTTATCTCCTGTAGAGCTGCATATAGCTGAAATTGAATTTGTTTAATAATGAATGAATTTCACTAAATAAATTATTTTCCTGCTCATTATTGTGAAGCTGCTTTGACATTATCTGTATTGTGAAAAGCACTATATAAATAAATATGACTTGACTTAAACAATCAAGAGGAAAGAAAACCAGCCATCAAGAAATAACAATGTTAAACTTAATACAGTAATCAGAGAAATGTTTGATTTGTCCCCAACCAAGACCTTTTTACTTATAAAACATATAAAATGTACATTCAAGGAAAATTAAACAAAGATTTTTTACAAACAAATTTAAATTTGCTGCAGATGTACTCACCCTCAGGCCATCCAAGATGTAGATGAGTTAGTTTTTTCATGGGAACGTATTTGGAGAAATTGAGCATTAAATGATCTGTTCACCGATGGATGCTCTGCAGCAGTGGTGTAGTGGTGCCTGGAGAAGTGGGTATACTCTTAATTTATGCCCCATGACGTGTTATAAACAGTGACGCCTAAAACTAGTCTTGTATATTTAGTTCACCCCAAAATGGGCCAGTAGTATTTGCATATTGTCACTTAACTTCTGCTGCTTGACTTCATGGAGTAAGAATCATTATGAAATAAAAATTTGCCACAGAAGGGTGCAGATTTTGCAATAATTAACAATTAACATTTAACAATAATTAAGCAATTAACATTTTGTCAGAACCTCTAGTACATTACATGCTATTTTGTTTAGTTGTCTGTTCGCATGAGAATAATGCCGTGACTATCAATTTATCCAGAATTTATCCCCCCATCCCCACCACCTTTTTAATATAAATAAGCACCAGTCAAGCTGCGATATCAAATAGGACCACAGGGAGACGCCAAAAGACCACTAAACCTGCTGTCTTGATCTTACTGTACATGCTACTATACAGATCCATTCAGAATAACTAGACCAGCACATAATCTAAAACACCTTCAGTCACCATCCAGTATAACACTCGTGCTTTTAAACCACATACACGCTGAAAAGAATAATTTACTGACATCTGGACTCGACTCTCCACAATCTCTGACGAAATCGGTTGGGTTTTCTCTGTATTAGAGCTGTTTTGAATTTACTGTTTGAACGCATTCGTTTAATGGATACTTGGACTGAAAAGTTTACAGGAGTTTACCGGTTTTTAAGCTATTGTTTTTTTCGTTGTAATGTACTCATTCAAATTAGTAATCAATAATTAACTATTATTTTACCACTCTGCGCGCATCCCCTGACATGCTCTCGTGCATGAAGAAGCAGCATCTCTGTCACTGTCAGCAATCGGCATCCTCTCTGACTGACGGAGCTGGCAAGGGCGCAGGCGCAATCATCAAACATATTTCAAAGGAAGCCGGCGCCACGGTCCTGACCGCATCACTGTCTTTACTGGGTGTTTTTAGGGAATATTTGTTTTTGTTTTTTACACGCGATTGGATTAGCTATTCATGTGGTGGACTGTCATGACTTTGCCTAATGCAGGACACTAATGAATGATGCGCATCAGAGGGGATTTAGAAGTGGGTATACGCAAAGCAGACTGATAAAGAAGTGGGTATACGCCGTATACCTGCGTATACCCTCCACTCCACCACTGCTCTGCAGTGAATGGGTGCCGTCAGAATGAGAGTCCAAACAGCTGATAAAAACATCACAATAATCCACAAGCAATCAATACGACTCCAGTCCATCTGTTAACATCTTATGAAGTGAAAAGCTGTGTGTTTGTAAGAAACAAATCCATTTTTTAAGCATTTTAACTTAAAAACATTGTTTCAGGATAAAAATATGAGTGCTCTATCCATAATTTTGCTTTCTCCAGTGGAAAAAAGTTGTCTTGTCTGAATCAGGATATAAATATGCACAGATCAAGCACCGTTTACAAGTGAAAACAGTTCTAAACAAATATGTGGGAGGATTTTGACGTGAGAGAACAACAGAGGATGGACTTTTTCACTAGAGGCAGTGATAATGCATTATGGACTACTATTTTGGCCAGAAGCGATGCTTTAAAGTTAAAACACTTAAATGATGAATTTGTTTCTTGAAAAACAGATGGACTGGAGTGGTGTGGATTATTGTGATGTTTTTATCAGCTGTTTGGACTCTCATTCTGACGGCACCCATTCACTGCAGAGGATTCAATGGTGAACAAATGATGTAATGCTACACTTCTCCAAATCTGTTACGATGAAGAAACAAACTCATCTACATCAATTTTTGGGTGAACCATTCATTTAAGACCAAGAGCAGAGATATTCCACTTTGCATTTTGACCTAAGAACTTATGACTCGTTTAAAATTATGTTTAAATGTTTAAAATTATGTTTAAATTAAAACAGTAGATACGAAAAACCCAAACTCACAAGTAACTTCCACTTCTTTTAAATATAGACCTTCGTTTGTATGCCTTTCTTAGGTTTTACCACTGCATGTCAAAGTTTGACATTACAGATTCATTCAACGAGATCAATTAAACACAGTAAAAATATATATGTGACCCTGGAGCACAAAAGCAGTCATAAGTAGCGCAGATATATTTGTAGCAATAGCCTACAATACATTGTATGGGTCAAAATTATCGATTTTTCTTTTATGCCCAAAAAATCATGGAGATATTAAGTAAAGATCATGTTCTATGAAGATATTTTCTAAATTTCCTACTGTAAATATATCAAAACTTAATTTTTGATTAGTAATATGCATGGCTAAGAACGTCATTTGGACAACTTTAAAGGCGATTTTCTCAATATTTTGATCAGATTCCAGATTTTCAAATAGTTGTATCTCAGCCAAATCTTGTCTTGAGGACAGGAAGTAAGTGTGCAAGACTGTCCCAGGTCTTAAAAACACCAGAGCGCAGTGCCCTTAACGCACACTAAAGCCACACTATCTCGAATACTGCTCCGGAGCGCTATTCGAGGCTTAGTGTATCCCATCATGCATCATGTTCTGGAAATAAATCGTGAGACTTTTTGCCAAGATCGCGCGAGAGGTCACGGAAACCTTTCCAATG